TGGTTTATTACCCCACAGCCTCGTTATCACATGGCAGTGTGGCTATCCCGTCCGGTACTCAGTGGGTACATGAGGGGATCATCATTACAAAAGGGAGAGTATATGGGTGTGCATCGTCAGGGTTTATGATCCTTGGAGAATTCTCGAAATGGAGAGTTGACAGTAAGTGGGTGAAGGAATGTATAATAATATTCTCACTGCAATAAAATTTCAGTCACATGGTCCTTAGTCAAATAAGGAAAAAGCATCTCATCAGCAAAAGTGACAACTTTTACGTAATTTTGGGAGGTGAGAGTGATACTGCTGTGCAGGTAACATCCTCCACATTATCCTCCACATATGTCCTGGATATCTCCAGTGACTTGCCATTTCCAACATACCCAATGAGCGTTGGGCACTGTCATGGCTTGTCCATCCAACAACCTAAACCCGCTCTGTTCTCAGGCCCAATTGTACCATACAATTCATAGGCTAAATATCATCCAATAGCCACAATTCATCAGCAAAAAATTGTTATGCTCCTGAGTGCTCTGGAGTATGGAGAGCACTTGTCATATCCATCCCCGGCCATCGACTTCCGGTCTCTCCGATCCCTCCATTCTAACTCCGCTCCCCCCTCACCAACCTCGGAGCCCCCATATTCCGCAAACCTCTCGGTACCCCTCGATGGTCACCACCCCCTCATTTCAATTTATTACCTACGCCTCCCTAAGTACGGAGCCCCAAAGACTTCCGGACAGCTCCGACGTCCGCTAGCGCACTCCCGCCTCCGCTGGGCAATACACTCGCCTGCCCTGCAGAGCCCACCTTCGGGCCTATCCCTCCTTTCCGTTTCTGGGTTAACACCTGCCTTTCCACTAACCCCACAAACCGACTCGTCGGTAATATTCAGTCAGCTAATGTCTTAACCCCATTAGCTCCGCTCCATTCAGCTCCGCCAATTGCGGAACCGTCTCCGCTGTAACCATATATATACACCACTTGTACATAGGTTACGCCCCAGCAGAAAAATCAACTAGAGTTACCCCCCTAGGTTCTAAGTGCCAGTCAGTAAGTTAGGGCACGGACGTGTCACTAGGCACAGTGCTCTTGGCAGAAGTCACTGAGGCCAAAGCCCTCCATTACGGAGACATCCCTTCGTCTCGAGTCTGGTCTCTGACAGCACTGGGAGAATCAGGAGGAGATTGGCCAGTCCAGGAACAGCTCATTTCCTCCGGAGTTGGCCAGGTACTCCAGGGCACTCCCAGGAGGGCATGGAGCATTGCTTTGTGCACAAACATATCCAGTAAATACAATTTAAATGCTTCAAAGTGTATAGGGGTGAGAAGCTTCTGGGAGCTCCTGGAGCATTTGAAAATGAAAAGGAAAAAAAGAGGGAAGATTCCCATGAATACCTCCTACCACAAGACTAACACAACAAGACACTGCTTAACATTTAGATCAAACACTATACTATATATCAAGGACACTGAGACTCACCAATACACAATCAAAATTTATGGCCTGATATATGATTAATCTGGCAACTTAATCACTTTTGGGCTTGCAGAATATGGAGGGGGAAATGGGGGGGAAATGGGGGAGAATGAGGGGGGAAATGAGGGGGGAATGAGGGGGGGAATGAGGGGGGAATATAGAGGGAAATGAGGAAATTTGAAAAATAGGGACTTCTAAAAAGTTGAAAAGAATAATTAGGGAAAAAAATCAAAAAAAAAATTCAGGAACTGTAGTGCCTTTAAAGTGCTTTCAGGATATATAATTATTTGCTAAATTGAGGAAGAAGTGATGGAGAAAAATGGAAAATACTTTCAGAGGCACGAGAAATAATGAGAACTGAATTGAGGGAAAGTCTGAAAATTGAATAGGAAAGTGAGGGGAAGCCTTGTAGCATTGTTATTTTCTGCTGTTCTGATTTTTCCCAATTCTTGGTCTCATTCCCAGCTGCTCCTCAATACTCCTGGAAGCTCCTGAAAGCTCCTGGGAGGGTCCAGGAGCAGCTGGGAGTGAGACCAAGAACAATCAGGAAAAATCAGAACAGCAGAAAATAACAATGCTACAAGGCTTCCCCTCACTTTCCTATTCAATTTTGAGACTTTCCCATCAATTCAGTTCTCATTATTTCTCGGATCTCCGAAAGTATTTTCCATTTTTCTCCATCATTTCTTCCTCAATTTTGCAAATAATTATATGTCCTGAAAGCACTTTAAAGGCACTATAGTTCCTGAATTTTTTTTGATTTTTTCCCTACATTTTTTTTTTCAACTTTTTAGAGACCAAAATTTTCCTCCCACTGCTCCTGGCACATTGCATACTCCTCACCACTCCCAGCTGCTCCTGAACCCCCTCCCAGGAGAACACTATTGGCTCCAGGAGTGCCCAATCTGCTGTTTTGTCTCCCACATGCTCCAGCCACTCTTGATGCTCCGGAGCATAACAGACTTTTGCTGATGTTGCTCACAAGAACCCAAAAAAAATAGACTCATTACTGTAATATTCTAATCTATTGGCCCATCACTCATTTTGTGCATGAAATCCCAACACAGAACCCACCACGCTGGACTGGGCCTAAAAAATATCGCATGAGGTTGAAGTTGATGAGTGAACATATCAAGTGTAATAACTGTGCAGCGCGATACCTCAATTAGTGAGGTATCAGCTGCTAGCGCAAGTCCGGTCCTTATATACATCTTGTAATGACTCTATGCCACTGAGGTGAAACATGAGTGGTAGACAACAAGTTGAAAACCGTCAGAAACCACCTCCACCTAATGTGGGCATTTAGTGTAATGGTAACACACTCTTGGTACCTATGCAGGGTTCTGTGGTTCGACTCCCAGAATGTCCATATTTTATGCATTAAGGTTCCTGAGACCACATGTACAAATTCCAACAAAAACAAAAGCGTGAAGACAAAGAGTCAAAGAGTTTGCCACCGTTCATGCCTCAAAGTGCCTTCCCAAAGCATGAATGTCCGGCCCGGGTGACTCCCTTGACCACCAGTGGCGTTGGGCTGCAACTTCTAACATCAAGGAATGCCAACGAGGCAGGAATATGCGGGTGTGCACATTGCTTCTATCTAATGTTACGAAGTCATAGAGGCTGGAGTCCTGCCTACACATTGCTATCACTCGAGAAAGAAAACCTCTTGTACTTTCATTCTTTACAGTCACCACTATAATACATGGTGTCTCAGGCATAATGGTACAAGTGCAAGAACGAAGTTGCAGTGGTGGGAATAACTTGTTAGCTGATGATGTAGAGATTCTGCAGTGTGCAATAGCACTAGATTGGCCTGGTACTGCAGCACTCCCAAACCCTATCAATATGGTCACACATGCAAAATAATATGTACATCACTAATCTTTTCCTGACCCAAATTTACCGTATCTTCCTATTCATCCCACTCCCAAGAAATTTTCAGATCATCCATCCCACTGCATATCCCCACCCTTATCTCTACGTCGCCTCTTCCTCTAAACTCCAAGGGAGGACCAACGAATGGCCAGACTTTGTTGGATATGCGCTGTGGGCAGATCAAGTCACTAGCCTATTCAGTTTTTTCCAAGTTATCCTCCCAGCCAAGATCGCCTCCAAGAGCTCCGTGTCCGAGTACATATCTCTCATAATCTCACATAGTTGTCCCTCTGTTCCAGGCTCAGCCCACACCTTCTCCTCAAATCCTCATCCATGCAAACATTCGTAATTGCATTCACAATGGCCTCTGAAAGCCTCTCCAAGTTCACACCCTCTGACCTGCCTCCTGTCATCACCGACCCAATCAGCAAACCAGTAAACCATATCTTGTAAACGGCAAACCCACCGCTTTCCATCCCACTCCCCCCAGACCTACTGCATACTCTTGGACAAGCTGGCATCACTAGAGCCTTTTCTTAGTCTTGACTCCTTTTCCTTTTTCGTTGGAACTTGTTTAGACAGCCAGCATTAAGTCCTGTCCAATGCGCTGCACGGGAACCAATATTGGGTGGTCAAATCCACACGTGAGCTGAGTACTTGTTGGTGGATGAAGTTGTTGAAGATGTGTAAGGCTTCATTCGGTATGAAGAAACAGGCCTGTTTCTTCCAGTTTTTCAATTCAATATTCTCTCTCATTTCTTCTACCTAAAGAAACACGCAATTTTTGTATTAAGAAACAGGAAGAAACAGACCAAAGAAACCTGTTTCTCCATACCGAACAAAGCCTAAAGAATCACAGCGGACCTGTGTTTGCGGCAATCGCCGTGCTGAACCCGATCAGTGATTGGTGCGATCATTGATGTTCAAGCTCTCCATAGTTCGATTGTGTGCAGACAGAGCGATCGGGCCAGCCATAACAACACAGAGCGATTTCTCTCTCTACCCCTCTTTTTTGGTGTGTAAATACTTTCATCATCAATTCTGGTTCCCCTGCTTCGACGAACTCGGCACTGTCCGAGAAACGCTCCATTCTGGGCGACTTCTGAGCATGCATTGTTTTCCACGGATATTAGACGAAAAATCTAGAGCTATTCGAGTAGGTGATACAGTGCGGGTTTTGAAAAGAGAACGGCATAGGTATATTAAAGGGTATTAAGCTCCAAGGCACATCTTCAAGTTGTATGTTTATTTGCGAGCTCCATCATCTGGTCGCAGCTGTCATGTCGTAATCCAATGTATGTAGCACCAAACAGGAGTACGAATGATACCTCCATCCCCGACCAGGGGTCACTTCGTGCAATGACCTAGGCAATCACGCCTTGCCAAGGATACCAGCTATAAAGGGTAGGATTTTATTTTGTTGACGTTTGTGGTTACGTAAGCCCCCGATCATGCTCCAGCCCAGGTTTCGAGCTGGGCACCTCACGCCTTGGAGCTTCAATCAACGCGTACCACGCCGGACGTTTCTCCCGTTGACTTCCACAGACCCCCAGAGGATTAAGGTCGTGAAGGATCTCCCGTGAGTTCAATAATTTTTGTTTGCCCAATATGCTAACCGAGCGTGTTCGTTCTGGTCCGGGGTGTGTATACTAAGGTATACGCAAAAGCAACTATACGATGTTGTGTCGGATGTGAATTCTTATCACCGTTTTGTTCCATACTGTACTGGGTCAAGAGTGGTTTCTAAACCACGTCAGGACGCGAAATCGAAGCATGACGAACCATATTTGATGGAGATGACGGTTGTATTTCTGAGCGTTCGACAGACGTATGTAAGTGAGGTATGGTTTAAACCATTTGAAAGTGTTCAGGTGTGTACTCCTTGCACCCACCCGAGCGAGCTAGATTAATGCGAGGAATGACTTCCGCAACAACCGTTACTAAGGCTGTGGCTGCTAGTGGAAACTCTGTCTTCAAATCCTTGCAGAGCATCTGGACCTTTCAGCCTCTTATTCCATCGGCAACATCGTCTTCTACAACGTCAAAGGCAACGACCTCATCCCCCTCGCTCGTTCCCAACGAGGTGAATCCGGTTTCTGCATTCTTAACTATCCATGTTATGCTGACTTGTACTTCTCACATTGGTTGCAAGTCCCCTCAAACACGCGTCTCCCTCGAAGTCATCTTCCATTTCCAGAATCCATTGCATGCCGCTCTCAGTAGAGCCTTTACGGACCAGATATCACACCCGATGATTGCAGCTTTTGAAGAACGATGTAAAGTCATCTATGGAACCCCTTCAAGCCAGACCCTCCCTCGGTCCACGTAACGTGCATCTTGAATTGGGTGGTAGCAACACCCCGTTTTGGAGGAGGCATGTTTATTTTCTTTACGTATTGAAAATTATCACTAATTGTTCTTCGCTCGCTAGGTACTGCATTCGGACGTTGATCCTTATTGGCATTGTGAGGTTGACCCGTCGCGGCGGCACTTTCCGCCAAATCGTCGATCTTTCCATCAAATTGGTGATGCCTCTTTCTCCCGTTGTGCCAAGGTTCTTTCTACCATCACGCACCTTTATTACACTGTCGCGGGCATTCTTCCCCCCTCTTCTTTTGTCCGCCGTGAGCACGCGTCATTGGCCAGCCACCGAACAAAACAAATTTCAACAGATTAGTGTAGGTAACTAATGTACAAGGGTCTCACCGGCTACAGCGCAAAGAGAAGTACTGAGGGGGAAGAAATGAAAAAATGTTAATTAGAAACGTTTCCACGCACTGGCTATTGGATATCGAGTCACTCGCACATGTCTCGATGACCAGCAACCTATGTTGAGAACGCGAGCGTGCCCTTCTATTAGAACGCCGATTTCGACCGAGATACACCGCGAATTCGAAGGGGCCATCGCCTTATCTCTGTTTGTAGATGAATCTTCTGTTAGTGCATAATTCGGGGGAATTGGCTCTGTAACTCAAACGCCGATTTTGAGATCGAGAGGCACCAAAGCGACGATGTAGCCATTGAGCAGTTCACCCTCTTGAAGTCCATGTTATCAGGTCGGGATATATAGACCTGGGGAGATCTGTTTGGGCTGCTTCTGGTTTACGCATGGGTGTGGTATGACGAGCCAGACATGTATGTGCATGTGGTAGCCCATGCGTGGATGGACTATATATAGCTTGATCATCACTGCTTGACTATTTTTGTTTGTCCGCATCTAAATCTCGCAAGCGACTCCATCCATCGAAGCTCAACGAGACAATGGCTTAGAATTAAGTCTCTCCCATTTTAATTTTCCCGCAGTGCCCTCATTCTGAAGTGGATCTTGCCTCCTGTTTGAAACTGAGCTTTCGGCATGACGATGGTGACAGTGCCATTGAGTGTGGCGTCCCTTCCCCACCTTGCATGTTCACCCAGTTCACGAGCAAGTGTACGTTAGTGCTAAAATTATAAGGGGAACGTTTGCTTCTTTCCTCGGCTCAATCTCAAGTCGTAGTTTCATCAAGTCTGTCTATTGACACACGCGATATCGCTAGGTGCCAACTGCATGCTGAGATTGAATATCGCTCGGACAGGGCGCGACGCCACTAAGTTTCCGATACCTCGAGCGCGAACGCCCATGGGTACCCGAACACTGTGGAGGGAACATCAAACGCAGGTTCTCACTTTCAGCCGCTCGGCATCACCGATGGCTTCCGTCTCTAGGTTGCCCATTTTTAACTTCCTGGATTTCTAGCGGGTCTCGCTGTAATTGAGGATTTCGAAGGCAATCAACGAATAATGAATTTGACCAACTCCGCTTACAAACTACAACTGGTGAAGGGCGTCTTCAGTGAAGTCACATGCCAAGGATCGGTGAATATTCAGGGACTGAATTCCAACGCCCAAAGACTAGTCCTTCGACCCAATCTTCCCTCCGTTGTCGCCCACAATGACTGGTATTCCGCGCCGCAGTGACCACATACCATGAATACTGATGGACATACTAGATATCCTTCAGGGTCCCAGTGCAACACAGTGGGGAGAGTCCGACCTATCGCATTCACCCATGATGTCGTCAGACGAACAACAATACCAACCCACCAAACCAGAGCCTCGATCACCAAGAATTAACAACTCTCCGTTGTCCAGTGATGTTGTTCAGAGCCGACAACCTGTCTATCCATATATTCCAGCCGATCGAACTCACCCCTCTGACGCATTCACGGGTTACTCTGAACCTGTCCCACCTGGATCACCAAACGTCACCATTCGTGGATTATACTCCAAAACCCAATTCGACACGCTCTCAATCCTTTCCAGAGTTTACACTCGCCCAAATCCAAAAATTGAGCTAGGGCCAGTGGACGATTCCGTTAGCTTTGTCGTGGTCGACGCAACTCGAGATGACTTTCCAGTTGTATATTGTTCTCAGAATTTCCACCGGCTGACTGGGTACAGAAGAGAAGAAATTGTTGGGAGAAATTGCGTGAGGCTTTTTCGCTTGACAATGTCTACCGCGGCCACCGGTCTTACTCTTTGTCGTTCTACTCATCTTTTAGCGGTTCTTACAATATCCACCTCCTGACGCACCGGGTGGCCAACTTGACCATTCAAGACATCGAAGCCCAGCCGTCGAGGCTTTCAAGCGCTCTCTGATGCTTGGTCAGGAATGTCAAGCCTCGTTAGTAAATTATCGTAAGTTCTGATCCATCACCTTGATTCATGTTCTAGGCATGACTGATTGTTTTCTGATCTTCCACACTCGTAGGGAGAGATGGAGAAGCTTTCCTAAACCTCATCTCTGTTGTTCCAATTCGGTGGAAGGAGAATGGCGAACAAAAAGAATACTACGTAGGTTTCCAAGTGGACGTGCGTAAGATTCTCTAGGCTCTAGCCAATCCCAAATCTGCATGCTTATTCATATCTTTGTCCCATTCCAGCTCAACGAGGTGCTGGGTCAAGATATCCCTGACGATGTAACTGCAATTGCTGCTGAAGCCGAGCGCGGTCCTGGAGATGAAGAATGGGCCGAAACGTGATGAAACGACCATCTCGGCACATTTCACCTTCTCCAACTTTAATATCGGCTCATGTCATACGCGTCCGTGCACTATGTAAATGCAAGGCTTTTCAGGTGTCGTTGTGGAAAGGTAGCATTATAGTATTAAAAGGAATCTGCATGTTGTACAATGTTGGAGGGTAATCACATCAGCAAAAATGAAATGACGTAGGCGAGAAGTGTCCATCATGAGCAAGCTTATGCAGTCTCATTCGTGCTTACAATTTGGTAGGCGTTGGATCGTGGTCCTCGCCCAACGAGACCAGGGATATAACGGCTGGCGAGATCTTTGATCTTGCCTTGGTGGGAACCCGTGTCATCGAACCTATCCTCTTCATCCTCGACCCGTCTTCGCCTCTCCATTGCTTTCTTGAATCCTTCTGGCGGGACATCATATAACTTCTCATACTCGACACCGATTTCCTTTCCCTTGGTCCAAAAATCCATGCAGTTTGATATTATCCCGGCATCAAAAGGATTGGGAGCTTTTCCAGCCCTAGCAAGACCATTGGCAGCTTTGCCCCTGGTGAAACGATCAAATCCAAGAACGTTGAGGAGGAAATTCCAACACCCGGCACCTCCATGGCTGTGACGGTGACCATGACCATGGGCATGAGCATGCAGGTGACCAGGGCCAAGATCGTCTTCTTCATTTGCCTCGTCAGCGTCCAAGTTCTGATAGCGATGTCCTTGCTGCATGAACAAGCTGGATCCTCGGCCACCCATATACCCGTAACGGCCCAAATTGGAGACTTCATATGTAGTCATCTGTCGCGCAATTTGGAAGAGTTGACCGGCGACCAAGACGACCGTCCATATAAGCTGTAGGCTTGCCCATGATACTACTGCTAAAACGAACGCAGCGTCGGATGATTCGGAGATGGAGCAAACTACAGGCCACGAGACGCAGACACTGTCGGAGGCTATGGGATTTGTGGGCGCGGGGAGTTGGTTAAAGTCTACCACAACGAATCAGTAGGCCTCAAAGGAGAGACGGCCTATACGCACAAGACCAGGCAAGCATGTCGAAACAAATGACACCAACCACAAGTGTTGTAATAAAAACAACGAACTGTCGGTGATTATTAACTCCCACTGTTTCGGACATTGAATATAAGTAGGTCGCATCTATGAAACGAGACATCGACATACCGCAATTCCATACCCACGGGCAGTGACTGGCAGTAGGACGTGCGTTCTAGCATGCATGGGGCAATAGTGCATAATTTACTCACTGGTCGAATCGCGCTGTGCAGCGGTTGCAGGCTCGACAATGCTTGGATCGCAATGGTTTTTGCGCCTAACGGTAATGTTCGGATGGCTGAACGTGCAAATGCGAATAAAATTACCAACCATACAGTCCACGCAGAACGTCATACCATTGAGCCGACCAGTGCTGGCTAATTCCTCAATGATCTAGGGAAGATATAAGCTAGGATCCATTGTAAGATCTTATAGTAGCGTACGGTGCGCAGTTCCGACTCGCTGGAGGGCTTTGGAGCACGGCCAGGGTCGAGAGTGACAGCTCGGAAGAAATTGTATGAACAAAGAAGGAAACAAATAGCGAAGGCGAGATGTAGGAAAGCTTGGCCTTCGGCATCTGAAATGACAATTGAAGGTTAAAACCCAATCAGCTGGATTAGCCGGGTCCTCTTACAAGGGGCTAGCCTCGTGAGCCACACCTCCCCAACCCATATCAAGCTGCCAGTGATGATAGATGCAAAGTAAGGACTTTGAACTAGCGAGTCAGTATAGGTTTTCATTTCCAGTATCACTCGCGCAACAATCTAAGGAACGATAGATGGAATTAGGAATTGTTCGGGCGACTGACTGCGATCACTCACATGGTGCATTCCGAAGAATTCTGCTGCCGCCAAAGGTACGCCGGTGTACCATGGTAGTAGAGAAATAGTCTTGAACTCCATGTAAAGAAATATTGTTGGAATTATGAAGATGGAAAGTTTCGTGTTCCGCTGTTGTGAAGATTAGCGGACATGTGTCAGCTGGTTAAAGAGACCATTCATGTACCTCATTTAACAATCTGGACTTCTTCCTCCCATCCGCGTCAAATCCGGCTTCCTCCAGGGCCTTCCTGTATGCCCCGATGCTTTTAAGCTCCAAGGCCATATCTCTGGCTGTCTTCCCTTGATCGTCCTTGGCATCAAGCTTTGCTCCAGCCTCAATGAGCTTTTTTATACACCACCGGTTCCCTCGCACAACGGCCCAGTGAAGAGGTGTCATTCCAGCATGATCTTTGGCATCAACACTGGCGCCGCTCTTGAGTAGAATATCGATCGAGATACCGTCCGCCTGATATGCTGCCCACATGAGAGCCGTGTGGCCCTGCACATCACCACTGTCAACCGCGATGGGCTGTTGAAGAATATAGAGCAATGCCATAACACTCGATGAATGAGTCACAATATGAAGCGTGTTGTACCCTTGCGAGTCCATGAGAGTGGGATCAGCATTGTGTGCAATCAGCAATTGGATAATGTAAAGCAAGCCGTTTCTAGGGAGAACACAGTCAAATTTAATTCGTCCTCCTTAAGCATAATTAAAAAGTACCTGGCAGCCCATTGCATTGGTGTGGCAACTAGATCACCGCCAACTGCGTCGACTTCAGCGCCTTGGTCAAGGAGAAATTGGCAGGCCGGCCGATGTGCATTTATTGCCGTCCAGTGCAAAGGGGTAATTTGATTCTCATCACGGTCCGTAGCTTTGGCTTTCCCAGAGTTAATGAAACGGGCAAGGAGTTCGACGTCCCCGCTTTGTGCTGCGGTGAAGATAGTCTACCAATAATTTGTGGCATACATGCCAAAATTCCGAGGTGTCAGTTTCTTCCGTGAAGAAAAAGGATAAACACCAGTAAGGCGTACCTCTTGTTCTGGGTTGGTCGGCGCTGCAGTCGCAGGAGCTGCGGAGGCTAACGAGGCCTCAACGGTTTCAGACGTTAAGGCAGTGTCCGCAACGGAAGCACTACTCAGGGGGAGCACTTTGAGCTCAGTTTCAGACATAGTGCACCAGTATCTCTGCCCGCTGCACTGAAGACCCGGGTGAAAAGATGGCAACTGGTCCTTGTGGAGTCGCAAGTGCTGGCTAATTTACTTCCGAACAGACCGTGAGAAAATGACGGGGATTTGCTTTCTTATTAGGATTCACAGCAAGCAAGCCACTTGCAAAATTATATACAACATAACCACCTCAACCGCGCGGTCTCGCAATTCTCCCTATCCCACCCATTACTTTCTCGACGACCCGACATGTCAAGCTGGTCCGCGATGTTCTTTCCAGTGTCCCTCTGCCTTCTACAGCAGAGGAATACATAGATGATCCCAGGAGCCCGTAATTTGCAATCGCGAATGTGTTCGATTCTTTGGTGTTTGATTCGTCTGACCCAGAAAGAGCCGCAGCGTCGGGAGGCTGGAAAGAATCGCTGGTGATGTCGTCAATTCCATGCAGGTGATTCGTATATAGCTCAGAAGTGGTGACGACGAGGCTCCGAGGCTCCAATAACAAGGTCAGAACAGGCTGTGGGTCAATTGATCGTCCACTTGAGGTCGCATCTTGGAATGAAATGCAGGCATCTGCAGAATGAACGGATCCGTCGGAATGAGTGGAGCAGTCTGGTCGATAGCGGTAGTAGTTCATGACAGTATGGGATCCCAATGAGATGGTTGCTACGACTGGGTAGTAGGAGGGACCATCCTCATGAGGCTATAGATTAGCATCAGAAACTGGTCCATGAAACCTCAGCGTCACTGACCATTATCCCGATACCTGCAGGGTACTGACCGGGGACTAGGTCAGAAACATCGGCGCTTTGGGGGGTAACCATCGTACCTCATTTAGGATGACATGATTGGGTGCTTTCTCGACACATGATGCCCGGTCAAAAACCCCAGTGTTCTTGAGTCGTGTGAGAAGATAAGGGCTTCCTCGCACACAAGAAGTGGGAGTGAGCCCCCTTTTCTAGAGGCCTGAGAGTCCAATACTCAACTAATCTCTCAGAAATGAGGGCATGGGTTCGGGCAACAGCGCATCCGACTTAAGATCAATATTACCACCTTCATAAAACCCCAAATGTTAAAGCATGAGCCAATAGCCGCACGTTTCCAATCCATCAAAAGCGACGAACCCCAAACCTGTAAGCTGTTACAGGATAAACGATAATTTGTCATTTAACATCATGGTGTTCATACCGTCTATGTGAGACCTCCCTCCATTTAGGTCTTGGAGTTTCCGATATCTTTCGTCGTTATGGCCATGCTACTTAGGATCTCCAATCGTAAACAGATATGCTCTCGTTGAGCTCACCTTCCTCAAGAGATACTCCTCTTCTTCCGCAGAAATAAAGTTGGGCACATAGTATGCGGCATTAACGCTACAAGGGACTCTGTGTTCCTCGATTGCCTTCATAAGCCCTTCAGCCATTCCGCTTTATACTTAAACAGCGGCGTAACGCAGGACGTAGGCCGCTAAAGAGGGGTTGGTCACCTGCCTAGGACGTAGGTGTTCCCTAGGAATGTATATGTCAGTTCTGGTGGCTGTACGAGTGTGTCTGAATGACGAAGCGACCACTCGTCGACTATGCGAGTTCGTCGGAAGATGAAACGGGGACAGGAAAGGGAATCAGTGCCACCACTGGGGACTCCCCTGAGGCTAGACAGCTAAAGAAACAGTTGGTTCTTTCGCTCGTTTCGTCGAAGCCTCATTCATTGCTCTCACTGACAGGAAACGTCTACCTCCCTTGTCAGATGCTGTCTCCCCGCCTCGTAAGCAAATGAATGGGTGGTAGTGCGATTTCTACACATGTCTGAGTAGTTTTTAGCGCCCTTACCCGATCCCGCTGCCCACCAAGGACGAATACGGGCTCAGCCCCATGTCGAGGGCCAATGGGCTGCTCATGTCTACGTCCCAATTCCGCTTTCAGGCTGCCCCTTGAACCTGCGTAAATTGCTCCACAGACTGTCAAAAGAGGCGCTCACTGGAGTCCCCGAGCTGTACCCATTTCTCGAATTTGATGGCATGCGTCTTTCGTCTGAGAAACAGGAAGAGCTTCACATCTCCCTTTCACGTCCCATATTCCTTCGCGCACACCAAAGAGAAGGATTGAAGAAAGCTGTCAAGCGAGTTGCTCACTCTTCAAAGCGGTTGGTTGCTTCGATTTTAAAGGACTTGCTTGCTGAGATGGCTCTGAAGGTTCCAGGCGTCGTTCTCGCGTTTGACGGTTTTCCGCAACGATGAAGGGACACGAGCATTCTTAAGTATCGAAGTTGGGGCAGGCTATGACCAGGCAAGCACTTGGGGTAACCAATATTTGCTCGATTGGATTGACGATTCATAATTAATGCCAGTTCCGAGGACTGGCTGACGGCCTGACTAACATCCTCGCCTATATTCGACAGAAGGAATACTACACTACTCCAAGATTTCACGCATCCATTGCATGGGCTCTACTTTCGGGTGCGCCACCCTATCAGCCAATCGATGTCTCGGGGACAAGCCCTGGCGATAAAATAACACAGGATAACTTAGATCGTCTTCACGCACCAGACATTCAACGTGGATCTCCCCTAGAGGAGGCCTCTGCAACAGCCAGGTCGTTCCCGTCCGTTTCCTGTATACCAAACAGCTTTATTGATAGACTGGAGCGGGAGTTCGGTGATGAATTGCGACGTGTAGGGAGGCTGGATATTGATCGGGTGTCTGTGAAGATAGGGAAGGAAGTCTTCACATGGGGGCTGCGGGATTAAATTGTACTCGTCCGAAACCAGCATACATATGCACCCAAGACTTAGTTTAGTCCTGCGGTTTCTACATATTGGGGTACCCCGTGTTCAGTTTTTAGCTTGAACTCCGAGGAGTGTGGTACGATCGAAGCGGCTCCCGTCGCTTTCTCCCATGTTTTCTGACCTCCTCATTCGCTGGCTGCGGACTGACGGCTTGACGTCGTATTGACATCACGTCGGACGCAAATCTTGCCCACTCGCGTCCACCTCCATCGTGCTTAAGCCTCGCTCTCACCGTTTGGGACCACTGCCAGTCCAAGTGGTAGGCCCCCCATCCGTCCTTCCAGGTTTCATTGCCTTCACTCGCTTCACATCAGTCAGTGGCTTCAACCTACTGGACGGCCGCGCCTCAGTCTCAGCCAAGAATCACTCTCATCTGGGGCGCTGCGGACTTTAGCCTCTGGACGTTATTCTGATGTATGGCGTTCCAGCAGTGGAATACAGTGTCCTGTCCGTCGGCCCTCACCCTCATTGTGAATCACCACTTCCAGGAGACTGCTCAGCAATGCCCATTCGACACTTTCGCTGGCCTTAGCTGCCTTTGGTTTGTGAGTTTTTCACATTCGGCATCGTACTGTGTCAAACATGTGAGGATGACTGGTGCTGCACCACCGACGTTCAACAAATGTAACGGAATCTGCAACTTTGTTTATACTGAGTGCTGACAACCCCGAGTCCAATACGCGTCCCCCACGTCCTTCCCCAAGGATGTAGACTTTGTAATTAATATTCTCATTTGAGATGTTTCCGATCACCTTCTGGAGCGAACTACCTGAAAGAGCTTTTAGTGCTAGAAGAATCGTACAAAGAATTGAATGCGACAGAACAGATGGCAATACGTAAGAGTTTCCAGTATAGATACCCATGTCAGCCACAATAAACAATCGCACAATTTCAATCATGCTCAGCGATAATATGAACAGCTCCAACGTATTGCTTCAATGCTGCAGAATCCTTCATGATGAAATTTTAGGTGACCTCCAGAGTTTCCAATCCCCTACTCCGCGTGTAAAGGCGTCGCACCAAAGTCCGGAGTTGCGAAACCTCGTTTCTATCATCCCCATCATTCAAATCAGTAACTGGTGTCCGTAAAACCAAGTGCCTTAATCCCAGAAAAGCACTCGACTCGCGGGGTTTAGTCTCCCTTAGAAGCAGGCTTAGGAAGTGGGTGATGGTGCGGATTTGGCCAAATCCAAGTTCATTGAGCGATTGGTTCGCTATTGCTGACAACCCCACCAATGGATGCAGCATGTGTTCATCACGTCGGAAGATCGGGGACCGAGAACGCACAAATCCATCTAGCCATAGGTATGACCTCGCTCTTAACTAAACTTGTAGATTCATCATAAGATTCAATCCGAAGGGTGCGTATTTCGCATGCTTTGATCTGCTCCAAAAGGTGCGCCACTATGAGGAGATCATGAAACAAAACGTGAAATTCTCGGAGATTAGGGAGATGGACTGGGGCCATGTCCGGTCCCGGGAATGCAGGTTCAAAAGTACCACAATGCATATGGAAAGTGTGCAGCTGTGGACAGTCACTGTCATCATGATGACATCGTCCATGAAGCCGTCTTTCGAAACCAAAGACTGGACATTCATGACCTGCTCCGAAAAAGTGTACCTTAGGATTACCCCCGAGAGATGAAGTTCGGTGGGGCGAGGAAACTTCTTCGTGTCTCTCAGTATGGACCTCCCTAACAGGTTGACAGCGGCCAGGATCGAGAGATTGGTGAACTGGAGGCTATTTCTTATAGCTAGCTGCACCCATACTGACTGAGTGACCTGGCTCTCCAATTGCATAGAGAGACACGTCACTCGCGTGGCGAACTCTTCGCTGGCGATCCATAATGGAATCGCATCAACCGAACTACCAGACAAGTGTGGCCTACGAAGGGTGACTTGTATTTTCGTGGCCTCGAAAGCCTGAAGTAGGCTCGAGAGCTCCACTTCGATACTCCGGAGAGGAGAGAATCAGCGATTTCCACGAGGAGCAAACCAGCAATAGATCCTCCGGAAGCACCCGGTTATCATCAGCAAAGACCCTTGAAAGGATATTGCGTAGGATTTCGGGTGGGAGGGAAAATATGGGAGACAGAATATTTTGGAGGGTGCTGTGACGGCGCACCATCTTCTTTTTGAACTCCTGGAACTTTTGCGCAATAGTGCCCATACGAGCGATTGGTTTATCCATTAGATGCAGATGATCCTTTGTGTGTGTGCTCTATCATCTTGGCGCGCTTGGATAGAGGGTGCTGAAGAAGAGGCATAGCATCGACGACACTCGCAGACATTTAGTGCATCTGGGAGCGTGTCCACCTCATTTATCATAGCGGGAAGGTCAGATATCCCACGTGAAGGCTCGATTTCGAGCTCGTGGTGCTAATTCGTGCAAACACGGAGGTCTCCGAGCTCGAACGCCAACTTCCAAAAGTGTTCCTTTATTTGTTTGTTTCGAGACAACTGTCCAAGCTGTGGCAAACTTAAATCCGCTGGTCACCTGCCTACTTAAATCCAGCTAAAAATGTCTTCAATCCTTCCCAGTGGGCGCGCTATAACGAGGAAGGCTGCATTCGACACTTGGGATGCCTCGATCACCAAGGTTTCTGACATCGTTGCAGAGTTTGAATGTCACAGTGATGTGCTTCACCCTTTGTGCACACCAGAGCATACATTGGACGGTGACTTAAGCCAGAAACTATCCCCTTCACACCCTGGGATGTCATTGGAGGAAGCTTGTGAGTATGTCTCAGCCGTTCATCCGCTCGCGATAGACATGCCTCATGCCACAGACCGTCACCTCGACGAGAAGATGGTGGAACTGGAGAAAATAGAGGTGCGAATCGCCTGCGTTGAGCTTCTTTCGCATTATTCACTATAATCTTTGTCTCCAGCAACGCATGATGCGTGCACGACGTGAGCTGTTAGGGCTTCGTAATAGCTCCTTGCACCTTGTTCCCGGTAATATTCTTCGTTCCACTTTCCCAATATATAAATTGACTTATAGCATAGCAAACAAACTGCTACCTGAAATTCTATCTTACATATTTCTTCTTGGCGTTGAACAAGCGGAATATGACCTGGACATGGCGGAATCCGACTCCGAGAGTGAGGAAGGAGAACCAGCCTTGGACCCAATCCCATTTAATCTCCTCGTATCGCAAGTGTGCAGACGATGGAGGACAATTGCTATCAATACGGCTACTTTGGTGAGTCCGATTCGGTGCATATCTCGCCCAAATTTGTCCGCTGACTCGCTACAGTGGACTCATATCGACTTTTCTGATCATCCGCCTCACAACCTGACACGACTCTTTCTTGCACGATCCAAAGGAGCTATTCTGGGCGTCAACCTTACTCTGACTGACATCGACGACCTAGAGAGTGAGGCACACATCACCGAGGGAATGGACATCCTCGGCGAGCATGTCTCAAAAATCGGTTCTCTTACTGTCGATGCAGCTACAGACATGCAGCTTGATCTCCTCCTTACGGCATTTCTGCAGAGATGTGAGCCGCAGCCAGGGACTCATGATCAGACTCGGGCAGCTCTGCGGAAGCTGAAGTTGGTAGACGTCTCCGGCTCAGGGTATGCTTTAACGCCAAACATATCTCGGGAACGTCTTCCCTTCGTGTTTCAGACCCTGCGAGGCCTAGATGATGTCACATTGGAGGGGACATCGCTGCCTTGGCACAGTCCGGCGTTCGAAGGACTGAAGCGATTACACCTAGTGGGATTGGGAACCGATGCCCTGCCATTTGAGGATGAGTTTGTCAACATTATCCAGAATTGTCCTTTATTGGAAAAGCTGAAGCTCGAAGAGGCAGGCCTCACCCTTGAAAATAGTTCTGACATCGTTAAAATGCGGCGCCAAACGCATCCAATTGACCTTCATCGACTCGATTCATTACATCTTTCTACGTTGTCATGGAATGAGATGGAGTTCATTCTCCACCTCATCAATGCTCCAAACTTGAAAAGCCTGTGGATTGATACGCCCACGGAGAGCGTGAATCCGGATGGTACTATTGTCGACGAGGGACAGGAAATTGAAGGTCTTCCCCGAGACGAACATGTGCTGAAAACCGTTGCGGTATTCATCAACCGCTCTCAAGCAGACACCTTTGAGAGCTCCTCTTTGCACACCCTACACATCGAATCCTTTGACACCACTATAACAGCTGACGACGATACAAACCCACATTTAATGGAAGTGTTGAAGGCTGTCCCTAATCTTAACACCCTCGAGCTTTGTGAGATTGCGGTCGGAGATGTTGTTTTGGAATCTCTTTCTGCCGTTACACCAACTCCATCTGTGCCAGGCTCCCCATCAAAACCCCCTTCCAAGGCGCCTTCAATGTCTACATCGATATCTAGTATCGTCAGCGAGCAAATCCCGTCACCTTCCATCTACCCCCCTCCAACATCGTTTGCGCAGTATGAATTCGATGAAGATGATGACGATGACGAGGATTGGGCTGACGAAGATACGATGGAGGTTGACCATGATAGTTCCACCCCCCACCAAGATCACATCCCGAGTCCGCGCCCGAAGAAAATCATCCCAATTTGTCCGTCACTCCAAGTTCTCAAGCTTGAGTTGATTCACGACATTACCCGAGAAGCTTTGAGGGTTGGTAAGAGCCTAGGTCTTAATCTGTTGGTTACTTAACCTCACGCTTCCTCAGTGCTAGCCAACCGAAATAACCGGGGTATGCCTTTGATATTGAAACTGAGCGATATGTTTGGGGAGGTTCTCGAAGAGCTTCAAGTGGAATTCGAACCACTTTGCCGCTGTGAGCCTAGTTTGATCATTATTCCATCCCTTACACTCATGCCTCGACATAGCCTTATCTATCCAACATGATGGAAATATCTACTAAGTTACCACTGCACCGATGCATAATTCCTCTACCACATCTAACCATAGATGGACTTCCTAAGACACAACCGATTTTGCAAACAATGTTACAAAACATACACTTCCGTACACGCCTAATACCAAAAGAGAATACATTGCATTTGGGTTCGAACCTATTTTCTGCAATACGACTTTTAACACATGGAGAATGAAATCGAGAACCCTCTGACACAATCTACAGTTTAGGGGACAGATGGTCTCTTTGACGCGATCCTTTGCTCGATGGCTTGTATCCAAAGCGCCACGTATTTCGAGTATATCCTGCAGAGGAGGAAATTCTAGGGAGAATAGTAAGCTGGAGCATAACTAACAGCGGCGAAGGAAATAACGTACGCCACCCATATACCAGAAACTGAAGGAGACTTAAGATTCATTACGGTGACACGAAAACAAAGTCACTCACCCCGGACAACCTGAATACTTCCATATGCCGTTGAACTCCCCAGTGGGGTCCAATCCCCACACAGTCCCAGTTTGGTCAGCGACATGGCTCCCGAATATCTTGCGACAGGACTCTCGCATGGATTTGTAACCTTGGAAGGAATATGATCAGTCAGATTTCCTCATGAGTTATTTTTCGACGTACCAGTGGCAAGGACGACAACGTCTGCTTTAACTAGACTTCCATCTGCGAACCTAACGCCCTTTTCTTCGAATTGTTGCACTTCTTGGCCTTGTTTGATCTTCACTTTTCTATCAATAATCAAGGACGAGCAGCCAACATCGATGTAATAGCCCTGTACACCCATGATGTTAGCTACTGGTGCAACACACTATCACCAAATATACTCACGCCCCCTTTGCGAAAATACAAGTAAAACAATCCAGGACTGTCTTTGCCGTCTATCTTGAAGCCGGCACGTTCGAGACCATCATTGAGGTCTTTATCTTCCTCCTGGACCATCGCGTGGAGGGCGGTCGAATAAGGTTCGAAGAAGTTCCAAGGGAGTGAAACCAGAGACAGATCCGCTTCCTAAATATGTGGTCACGCCGAATCCGCATCGCTACGCACGATAGGCTGTACCTCAATTGGCAAACCTCCTTCCCTGTATCCTGCAGACTCAAGAAGCTTTGGGATACCAGCCTCACTAGAAACTACAAGGGTCCCTGAACGTTGAACAATCGTCACTTCCGCAGCGCCATTGTTGTAAAATTCATGTGCAATGTCGTGCCCTCGAGTAATTCAAACAGATCAGAAGCGTATAGTTGTTTAAATGGAAAATAATCACCAGAATTGCCGGAGCCAATAACGACGGCCTTCTTTCCTCGCCATTGAGCCCCACCTTCGTGAACGCTCGAATGGCGGATGCTGCCCTTAAAGGTTTCTTCGCCTTCGAAACGCGGTATGCTTGGCTCTCCTCTAGTCATCGAATCATTAATTATCACCGATGCACCTTATGCATAATTACCCACGAATGGCCGGTTGCCTGAACAATGTGCTTGCACTTCAGTTGACGAACGGAACCGTCACCTTTCCGTATGGAGATTGTCCAAGTTTCCGTAGCTTCATCGTATGACGTAGAATTGGGCTCCACAGTCGACTTCAGCCACTAACATGAAATATGGGCTCGCTGTGCACGCTACCACCAAAGAATGCAACGACATACCACGTTGAGCTCCATGATACTCGCATAAGATTCGAACCAGTTGGCTATCCTGATTATTCATGTGAATGTAAAGATAAAGAGCTGGCCAGGGGGGTTGCTGGACAAAAGGCTTACTTGTCCTTGGGGATAAACACTGGCCAATCATCGGGGAACGCAAGATACGGGAACGCATCACCGTAAATCGTGTCGTGAAGCACGAGGGAGTGGTACCTCTTTCTCCATGAATCCCCCAGACGTTCTTCTTTGTCAATCAACAAAGTCAAAATCCCCAAACGTCTCAACCTGGCAGCAAGCATGAGACCTGCATGTCCCGCACCAACAATAAGCACAGTTGGATTGGGGGTTGGGGAATTAGGGCTGAATGAGGATATGAGCCCGCGCTCATCTAACCAATTGAGGGGTGAGCGTTCCGGTCCACGCTGCACTCCACGTGGGCGGTTTGGGCCCGCAAGAGGGGTGTGATTTTTGAACTGATGAAGCGTGAGCGACAATGTTAACAAGCGGTAACTCCCTGTGTTTGGATCTGACTGAATTCTAGCAACGCCTTCTCCGAGAGCAATGTCCGTTTCAAACACGAAAAAACCCCTGGTTTACGGGAACGATTGGATTGGTGCCCGTAGGAATGACCGGAAAGGAAGGATGTGCGGCTTACTGGATCCAGTTTACCCCTTCATTGAAGAGGGGCAAAGTTTTCTTGGGATCAACCTTGATCGAGCGTGGGACGATATTAGGAAGTCCTCCGTAAATCTGAAAGAACTTGTCCAGAGAATCCTTGGAGATGGACGCATACCCCCAATGAGAGATTAGAACACTTGGACAGCCATGTTAACCATGATTTTGTCTGTGATATAACCACATCTTACTCTCTGAAGTACCCAGCTGGGAGGAACAGATCGACGAAGTCAGGGACGTTGCGTGACTCGAAAGATTTTGCCAATTCAGTCAGGAAGGACTCGAAGATTGAGGCATGGGTCGGTGCGCTAGTCATCTTGATGCAAGCAAGGATACGCGGAGAAACGAAACGTTGGGGGTTGCAATGGCACACTTCTCAGGTGCTATATAGCGAAAGCAAACTTTCCCCACACAGCAATCGCAGACGAAGGGTTGGGACCCAGATTACCAGAATCATGCAAGACCAATGATACGATCGATCAACTTCGGACGGGCCGTAGTTGTATTGACGTTTCCACGATACCGCGGTCACGGCAAGTGCCCCTATTCAAGGAACGGGCCTGCAGCTGTTGTGTCTCAAGTTGTCACCAATTCCCTTCGCGTTCTGACTGACACCAGTACGTAGAAATGAGTGACTCGCTAGTGCGCATATGGTCAGAGGCAGTAAACAATCCTTCATATTGACTCGATTAACACCGAAGTCAGGGTTGTGCGGGGAAATGCTTTTATACACTGTCGAGAGTTTCCCTAGTATACCCTAGTGTGGGGGTCAGGGAAACCCCGTTGGTTTTCAGCCAGCCATTTTCCCCTCAAGAGTCAAAATTCCCCACGAATCTCGGTGGCTGTGTCAATATATTTCGTTCTGGCGAACGTGCGCCGATTGAGTAGTATTCCGCATCCGTCGGCTCGCAAGTGCTCGCCAAGAGTCCAGTGCGTTTGGTACAGCGTCCTACGCAATGCCTCCCGTCCAACCAGTGCAAGATGAAGCTGGGTCGAATCAGTCAGTTACACGACCTTTTGAAGATGCGGACATGAAGGAAACACGACTACTTCTGGGCATGAGCGCCATGGAACCACTTCAAGTTGCCAACTTTCAGGGTGAGGTAATCTTTGGATTCCTTACTATCCTTGGAACCTAGAACTCGTTCTTTTCCATATAGCATATACCCACCCACTGATAATTGCTCTTTGGGTTGCATTGTCGAGCGCCTTCGTTCAGGTAGCTGGATTTTGGCCGAAGCCCGAGTATGGATGGTATGGATATTTAGCGCCAATACCCGCAATTGCAGCTATGGGATACCCTATTTTGTTTGTTATTGATTGGTGCGTGCAAGAGCCATAACCCCTAATGGTACGTTGATTAAGACTTTTTGTAATAGGATTCAGCGCTGGAACTTTGAAAAAGCCTTGCGACGGCTCCTACTCTCGGAAGACATACTTGACATCAAGTCCTACTACGATAAACCATCCCTATTCCGAGTGCTCATATGGAATGGTCGTCCAATCGGCTATGTCGCACTTGACGCTGCATATCCAGACGAAATCTTGACCAACCTCGTCGATGAAGAGGAGAAGTTGGGCTCAACGTCATCTACTGATCCTAAACCAACCCCAGCTCGAGAGAAAGCGGCAGAGATATTGAAGGAGAGGAACGCTCAACGCAAAAAGCGCAAGAACAATGATCCAGCCACCCACGCTGTAATTCGTCATCTTTACGTCGACAGCGTGTACCATAGAAGCGGGATACAACATGAACTCATCCGAAGAGCTGTCAATGAAGTATTCGGCCACACCAGCCCAAAGCAACAAAAGGGTAGTACGGTCCAGGAGGTGTTCGTGCGAATTTCGTCATTGGAGAAGGAAAAGGCAAAGGTGCTGCACGAAGCAGGTTTCGTTCCAACCAAGGACCGAAAGGTCGATGTGGGATCCGAGCCAGTGTCCACGCGTGCACCCTTATGGGGCCTGGGCTTGACACTCACTGGAAGAGCGTTAGTTGGGGAAAAAATTGAATGGTGGGTTCTAACAAGGGAGCGATGGAACAAGATCGCGTCGTAAAGCAGCGATAATGCATGTAATAACCTTCCCCTGTTGTCATTTGGAATGCAGAAATCAGGGACGCAATGGCAATCGTAGCCCCGCAGTGACTGACGAGGGCTTGGTGTCCAACTAGCTCCTCCAAGGCCATAGGTTCCGTAGAAATCCCGTGGTCCTCTCGGTTGTTTGGGGAACTTGCGCGCCGCCTTTGATGGGATCCGAAGCAAATCGTCGTTTATACTCAGCAGGGGTCTCGACGGATAGCCCCTTCGCCCACATTCCCCGACGAGCAGCCCTAGACAAAGCTTTAATTAACGATGAAAATTTGTTTCAAATTATTGCCTCTCACTTGGCATCCGCCTCGGCCTTGAGGAACCCTTCCTTGCCGATGGCACCGTATTCAGCCCCCGACTGCAGATAAGCAGTTGCCCACCCGGCACGGATCATCTCATAACTCACGTTCTTCCCAGTAAATAACGGTGAGGGTAGTATTCGAGGTGGAAGGTGGACGTTAGCGACCTGAGGGGCGCGTCAGTTTCATGAAATGAAATAGCATAGAATCGCGTACAATACGCCCATATTGATCTCTTCTAACGAGTTGGCAGTGAACTCTACGGCCCTGGATAAGTGATTTGAGCCAAGCGATAGCCTACGGCAGGATACAGTCAGCCGACGAATGGGATGTTTCACAAATGACTGACTTCAGAAGCATAAGGTTGGGGTGGCCGGCCGAAGTGACCCGCCTGAATATACGTGGATCACTCCCATAAAAGCCATAACCTGCGGGCCTACCTCAGGCGCATCAACTGCCGAAAGCCTAATATGAATCGTCTTGTTTTGAAGCTCTGGCGCGGGGTTAGACCAGCATACGTAGCCAACTTTCGTACATTCGAACCTTTCGACGTATCCGGCACGCGTCGAAACTTGCTCCAAAGCGGGCCGGGAGTGTGGTACAGTCGAAAATTATCACCATCCCCAACGCTACAAAGGAGCGTCAAATATTAACATATCGCCTTTCTTCCGGTTACGTTTTCGTACCACTTGCCTCGTCACAACACCCTTGATCCATCTCCTCTCAGCAAGGACGACGGGCCTCACTGCGTCCGAAGTTGGGAAACGGCGAAAGAAACGTACATAGACAGAGATGCCAGCAATAGTTAGCACCGAACCTAGAACAGCGGAAGCAAGGACAGGGGTCCACGCCGCTACCCAGGCTTTCTCGACGGAAGGGTCGGCGCTACCCGCCCTTAGCGTTGGGGCCATAACACGGAGAAAGTGACGGAGCCCGTTCCCACGCTCGTTGACTCTTGCAATTGGTCACCTTTGTGTCAGTCTCTGCGGAATCATCACCATACGTTGCGATCCGTTGCCGAACCCGCAATGCCTAAGTGTGGGGCGGTCCATGTTCACTGTGCTTGATCACATACCTGCTCACACTACACTCTACAACCGCGACGTGTCTAAAAGTTTGACGATTACCCCTTCGTCCTCAAGTCTCCCCTAATAAAACGGTGATCACTCTTACTTTAAATCCGTCTAGATTCTTAAATTATCAATAACTCGCTAAAGTTTTCGAATTACGGAAAAAAGGAAGCAAGGATCCTATGATAGTTCGCGATTTGCTCTTGTTAGTCAGAGACTCAGCACTCCCGAGAACTGATGAGGGACCTGGATCAGCCATCTGTAGCACCTTTTACTTAAATCGCAGCGGGACCTTAGCGAGTATTTCACAAGGCATGGAAACGTTGGGGAAATAGAATTCCTCGAGACAGACTGCGGACCCAGGGGCAGTCAGGCCAAGGACGACTCATATAATTGAGCCGATGGTTCCTCAGAAGACCGACGCACTGCGCGCTCAATCTTGGAGCAGGGACGAGTCCACAGCAGAGGACAGAAAGATGCCAAATCTGGGCAGGTAGCATGCCTGGCTCTAGTTACATTGACAAGGATTCACAGCGTTATTATGATTTCAGGCACGAAATTTATCTGTCAGATGAAGAAGTGACCATACCTGGCGCTCATCATGATATTGATAATGTGAATGGTCACCGCCACCGCAAGCCTCATTGCATTGATGTTCACATCATTCTTTGATGCACTTTGCATTTCCCCGTATGGTTGTCAACGCAATGCGGACCTGGGGGTAGACATCATTCGTTAGCTTTACCCCTCTATTCGCGCGAAATCCCGATCTACTGGGAATGCGAATGCCACGGACACCGTTCGCATTCGCACTGCAAGTCGATCCCATATATATTCCCCTACTCGCGAAGGCGAGCCGAACGAAAGGGTGACCTGAGTTCTATGAGTGGAACAGCCCTCATGGCCATATGCACGGAACTTATTATCGGATCCCAAGGATTGTGAAGGTGGAGGGGTCATTCTTCAGAGGCGATTCACTAATTCAAAGTGACACCGAACCTATCAAACCCAAGCAAATAGGACCTCAGCGTTTTTCAGCAACAGCCAGGCCTTCTCCAGACTTCCGGGCTCCCCTACCGGGCCGCCACGGCTCCAAACTGTCCAGGCGAGGGTAGAGGCATTAATCAATCGATCGCCCCACCTTAGATGCTCTCATTTGATAAATGCGCTACTTTGGCGGCTCTTGGGTTTAGCAGTGATACATTACCCATCCGCAAAGCAACTATCCTACAATCATCACCAATCTTTAGCGAGTGGACTATTCGAGCATTCATATCAGTTGCCAACCATCACAATTAACGGAGGTATGCGCCGACTCGGAATGCACCCTCCCTCGGCTTCCTGCGTCCTGACTACCACGCGCTTTAGTCCTCTGCTATCCGCGTCCGCCGTTCTCACCGGCTCTTACATCTCTTACACGCATCTACGCCGAGTCCAGTATTTGTTCCTGCCCGCGGTGTATTTTTTTACTGATTTCTTTAGTTTTTTCTCGGACCCTTCTGTTGTTGCTTTGCCTGGCTTCATTCAGTTTCGCGTTATCCACTGCAAGTATTTCAGTCTTTGCTGTTGGTGGAGGTGGTATGACCTTCGGTTGCCCACGGCAAGTAGGACCCCAATTATTCGCTTAGCCTTTGCTCTTGATTCCTCTGTCAGTTGTAGCTTTATGTCGCCTTTCGATCCCAGAAGTCTCGGCGATCGTCGGGGCTGTTGCTTCGTTATTCTCCTTCCGCATGTTCAACCCGTCCGCACACGGGGCTACATGTTGAAAGCAACGGGTTTGAAGGAATCGATCAAACTGGCCTTTCAGTTTCAATAACGGCGACAAAAACACTAAAGGAGATTATTTTGAATTTATATTGTTTTCAAACCCATTCGCAGTGCACCCCTGTAGAGGAGAACGGGGTAGGGCTGGAAAGTGGTCCAGCCATGAGAACCCGGCATCGACTTGGCTGATGTCATGTCACTAGACTTCAAGCCAATCAGTCCTCCAGTATGTAATCGGGGGGATTTGATCACATAAAGCAGGGAATCAAAAACCCTTACGGAAATTGAATTGAATCTCGGGGATCGGTTTCCGCGTGGGCGGCAGTTTTAGCCACTGCCCCAAGGAGTGAAACACGGAGGCGATCGAGCCTGTGCACTGACGGCCATGCCGAGGATCTCTCGTTCACCCGTTTGGCCGTGAACGTATCCTCATTGCACAATCAATATATGTTCTTTATTAACGTTGATACTTATTATCGATATCGTTGCTGATAGCAGAACCTTCAGGGCTCAACAGTGACGTGGCCTGTACGTTCTCACCTACCATAGTGCAAGAACGGCCGCCACCGCTTCGGGGTAAGGGGATGAATAACTGGTGCTGAAGGGGACACAGCATCCTTGATGTTATTCAGGAGCTTTTTTGCTTTTGTAATGCCGAGCCACTACTTAATTGACTCATTTTCTGTCCCAAAAATACACATGCATGTTGCTCAATTGAGTTGGTAACCCTGTGTACTTATTACATAGCGGCACAAGGTGGTTCGCCCGTTCAATTTACCATACATATATATAGCCCAACCGTTGTACCCCCCTTCGTACTACAACCTCAAGTCGTTCGCTCAAGATGCTGCTGAAATCTGTTACTCTCCTCGCACTCTCTGCCTTTGCATCTGCTATGCCTGTGAAGCGGGCTGCAGTGACAGATTCGGACATCTTCCAGATTGCGTTGACTCTTGAACACCTGGAGAATGCGTTCTAGTATGTGCCAAACGTGTTCGCCTTGTTTGAGCACGTCACTCACGCACGTGTGTTTTTTTACCCTAGCACTGAGGGCTTGAAGAAGTACGACGCGGCAGCTTTCAGAAAAGCTGGGTTCCCGGACTGGGTACGAGGGAGGATAACCCAAGTGGCGGAACACGAGGCTACACATGTCAAGTCCTTGGAAAAGAAACTCGGTAGCGCTGCCACCCAGCCTTGCACTTACCAGTAAACATTCTTTACCATCCCCACTACGGTTTCTCGTACTTACTCTTCTCATCATTTAGGTTCCCAGACACCGACGCAACGTCGTTCGTAACTCTCGCTGGGGCACTCGAATGGGGTGGCGCCTCTGCCTACCTTGGTGCGATATCACACCTCACCAACCCAGACGACATCACAGTGGCTGGTTCCATATTGGCCACGGAGGCTCGACAAGCAGCTTGGATTAATTCAGCGGCACTCAAAGGTTTCCCATGGGACGGGAGCTTCAACACCCCCCTTACCGCGGATGAAGTTTTAGGTATCGTCCAAGGGTTCTTCAAGACATGCCCTGCTTCGAACCCTAAGCTCATCGCTGCGCCATTCCCGAGCAAATTGACTGTTGGGAAGGCGGTCTTGGGACACAACGTCGCGGTGACATTTACACCTCCATCTGGGTCCACGCAGCAGTTCTATCTTGCTTTGAGGTCAGGCCTTAAGACGCACGTCAGTCCTATAGTAGGAGGACAAGCCAAACTCCCTGCTCATTTGCAAGGGAATGTGTTCGCTACCGTTGTGGTAAGTCATGATTTCGTCTCGGCATTCTCAAAGTACTCCAAGTAAACGTTTTCTCGTACCTTTAGGACAATCCTAATGTCACTACGGATGCTAATACTGTTGCCGGGACTGCCGTTTTGACCTTCCCTCTCCCAGCGAATGCTCACAATTCCTAACCGCCTCATTACCATTGCTACGTTCTTTCTTCCTGTGAAACTATTTAACTCTTGGAGCGTCCGTTTAAATCCGGGCGGTCCCCACCATTCATTTCTGCGTTTTGTTCATTGGACACATCATATTTATAAGATTCCCCTGTTGTGATAACCCATTTGTTTGTGACCATGAGGACGATTGTTTGTTTACATTTAAAACTATCATGATGTGCTGCGTCGACCGTCAATATTACTGTCATTCATTTACTGTCATTAATTACATGGCCTGCAGCATATTGCGAAGTTTCCCTTTCTTCGCCTAAGCCCCTTCTCCCAGCATATGAGATTGCACACCATACGCCAGTGCCAAGACTCTAACTCCTTCAACTCCTTGCCCATAATGATGTGGAGCGCACCCACTCGCTTCTGAAGTACGTTGGGTGACCTTTTGCTACTTCTTTATTGAGGCCATTTTGCTGCCCACGCTGTCCTGCGTCGCGTCAGATGGAAAGACGCTGCTTTCTGCTGCAAGCCCGGATCACGAATATGTCTAGATAATATAGGGAAAAACGTATATGTATTCCAATCGATCCCAGTAGCATGCTTCGAAGTGTCCTTAATCATCTGCAAATCCTGTATACAGCTATGTAGTACTAGAGCATTAGCAATGATCAATCCCACGAGCAACGGACATGCAGGACCAACGTCCCAATTATATATAGAAGGGAAAGCGGAAGCGGTGGCGACGCTCCAGAAGAAGGAATCTTTCCCTGCAAGAATCCTCCCACCGTTAGTAGCTGAAGGGGGGGGGGGAGTTTAGATGAGGGTGAATTGGAAGAGGAGAAAAAGAACTCAGGTACGCACATAGTAATGCACCAATAAGCAACGAGTGATTGTTGAAGCCAACAACAGCCAGATCAGGAAAGTCTTCTAGTTCCGAGGAGACGACGTTTCTATTCAGGGTTTATGCAGTAAGGGTATGCGACAAGTAGCTCACAAGGGCAACCGCAAGTGTTGAGGGAAACAAATGACGGTAATGTTGGCTTCGAACCATAGTAGTGTTCCATGAAAAGCTGGAACAGCTACCGCGAAATTTTTTTTCGCTTGCTCCGCCTCTCTGCATGTCTGATCTCACAAAGCTAGGATTTACGAAGGCGCGTAGCACGCCGGAAATATAGCATCACCACCAGTTTTGGAAAGGAAGAGTAGAAGGACCGATAATAAAACCAGAGGGCCACGCGAACTCCAACAAGCCCAACGCCAATTCTTGGCTCCGGTAGCTCATAATCCTCTGATGCGACCGAAAAACAGGTGTCATTACGGCTTGACCCCACGGCGAACGTCGGAAAGAGCTCTGTGACCAAACAGCGAGGACTTCCCGATGGCTGGTCCACAGCGATCTTGCAGCCCTGATATACTCGCAAATCCGATTTTCGTTGGGACACTGAACTTCCGTACAGTCTCACTGTGCAGTTCCCCCTGGTATTACGGCCGGCGCAGGGTTGGCGTGAAGGGGTCAGGGTCCGGCGAGAAGAAAGGTGTGACCGTCATTGGGGTGTCAAGTCAGGGATAAGATCCAACATGTTTCGCCAAAACTACAGTTTTTCGAAGTCGTGATAACGTAATTTTCTATAACCCAACGTATCGGCAGGGGCGAATGTACTCCAAGGTTGACATGGCATGGTTGAAGGTGGTGCCAGGATGAATGTTTATCCACACGTATCATTTGTATTTACACGTATTTATATTCTGAGTTTCCCAACCAGCTGGCGCTTCTTCAGAGCTCCGCCAGGCAAAACCGCATGCGATCACCTTAGCATTTGATGCTAATGTTGTAGCAAATCATGTTGTCCGTGCCATCGGATACACATACATTGCGCAACGTGAATGACATCGGGCTTGCCATCTGACACCATAGCCTCGTCGGAGCCCTTCTGCCTTTCCTCTCGTCCATCACCGAGCTGTAGTCATACCCTCTTTGCGCAACAATAGCCGTATGGTATCTAACAATCAGGTCGGCCCCAGTTGTTCTTCGAGCATACTTACTGTACTCACACAACTTCCGGCCGAACCAGGCACGTGACTAGTCACATGATATAAACTGCCAACCGGCAACTCGTTGTGACGCGTGACACCCGACCGGCAGGGGAAATTTTCCATTTTTGAATGCAAATCCATTCCTGAAATGGAAGTTTTGAATCACTTTGCATAGCCACCTTGCCTCAGCAGAACTGGCGTGACAACCGGACACCCAACCGCCGGGCATCTTTACTACATTACCATAACGGGAAATCCGTTGGCCAAGCTCGCGGGGCATTTATGACAATATCCTTCTCGAGTCCAGCTCCTCTCTAAGTGAGACGAACGCTTCCAAATGTGGTCAATGCACTGTAGGCCGCTACAACTAGTGGTTCGTACTGCTCACAGTCACGGTCGGTGTAATTGCTCTTGTTTCCCCTATGCCATCTTTGGCCCGAAGCTAACGCTCCGTCGTTTCTGTGACTGAGGCCACTAGTTGGCGCTCAGATCATTTCCGGCTTGGTTCATTCCTATTAGTTAAGGAGTTCATCGCAGCCTCAAGGTGGGCTGTGGTAGGGCAGACTCTGCCCATTGGAATTGGGGGGGGAGTCCGAACCCTGAATTCATAATCGCCCGAATGCCACAGTTTATCTCAACATCGTACGACGCTTGATTCTCGCGTTCAAGGGGCACAAATGCCGAAGTCTTGGGCACCATTATAGCATGGTTTCGCGAGACAGGATTCCTCATTTGATTTGTCTTTCTGTTTATTATATTACCCTTAGCTGCTTCTCAGCGGATATAGAAGCTCAGCATTCCGGGTACAGCTTTTCTGGCTGAACGTCACCGAACGTCAAGCAAGGCCTAACCCACTGCATACTTACAACTTACCAACTGCTGGCTCGCTGTTATGCGCCGAGAAAGGTGCCCACCCTCGAAGACTGGTTGAATGACCGAATGCTGACATTTATGAGATGGGTGGCCTACGTTACTTTCTGGGACCGTAAATCCGCTATCTTGTTGCACTCCATTAAGATCCCTGAACCAGAGTCGCTCGGACGAAGATAGCTTGGAGTCATACTAACATGGACAGACTTATGTTTGCTACTGGTGGACGTAGAGGCACCCTTAACAATTCGAACAGCCGAATTTCGGGTCAACGAAGCATCTGGGGCAGTCGAAACAGTGTAGGCTTGGGAGGAAGAGTGGTCTTGAATACTTGTTGGTGCCTGGCGCCTGACACCCAAATACTCTGACTGTGCGCTTTCGGATCTTCAATGACTATACGAACATATGTACGTCTCGTGCAAATCTGGCGGATTTCTTATTGGTGTGTTACACAGTTCATTTACTGATGGATATCAAACGGCCTGTTTTGCTCCGATGATGGTATGGCATACTTGGTGGTATTGACAAGTTGACCAAGCCCCCAACCAGATAAAACATGAAGATCGAGCCGGGCATTGCAGCGAGAATTCACTGCACCTTCATACGTTGTTGTTGAATTTGTTAAGATATACCCGGATGTCCAAGTCGTTGGATATGATCCTAAGTACTACAGGAATCTATGTAGCGATGAAGAGGAATTCACCTGGGCACGATCGTTGGATATCGTACTCTTACGCAAACGAGTTCTTGAGAACAATTACCGGAGCTCCAATATAAACCTCGCTCTTTATAATTTTAGCTGAGGGAGAGCTGCCCGGCACGGCCCGGTTCGTTCAAAAAACCAATATTCAAAAGGAAATGAGAGGTCATCTGGTTCTCATTTTCATGGCTCGGTTTGAACTTTCATTCCTTTCTTGGTGTCCTTGGTGCGCGAGCGCTTTTGTTGTTTGATATTCTTATCGGTCAACGAGGTCTAGCTGCACAGGTAGTTGTCCGAATTTTATTGTCATATTGTCATGATGCATTTCAATGAACCACAAACCATATGACTGAGCGCTATATACATTATCGCCATTCCAACGGCAAGCATCGGATGGATTTTTGACCAGAGTAGAGGGGGTAAGTAAGCACGGGCCAAGCCCCTTGAGCGAGAGACTAACAGTTCAGTATAGCGTTCCACGATCTTCATCCTTGATCTGGCGTCCATATGTATATGTCGCACCGACGACTCATCATCGATCCTACGGGGCATGTCCCCCGTAGTTACTCATAGAAGCTGGCATACAGGAAGGAACGCTTTGAGGTAGTGAAGTCGCCAGCTGCGAACCGATCCAGCTGAGCGGGCACTCTCCCCGAGGAACTGAATTACTGTGCATCAAATTATGCTGCCTGCAGATAAGCACAGAACCCCCTTTATAGATCATAGCGATGTCCAGCAGACTTTGAAATTGACACGCCTTCCGCTACATGACCCTGCGAACTAGTCCATCAATGCATGCCTCAGGTTTCTGATAGCCGGTTAAGTAAATAAGCTGTCCCTTACTTTATCTCCCATCCTAGCCCCTAGCTAGGATTATATACGGAACACGTTGACACACGGTTTTTTTTTTCTGTAAAAAGTGAAACACACACACACATGGCGAAAGCATGGTCTCAGATTCTGGGCGGTTTTGAGTACTAATCCTTTGGGAGGCAGGCTCTTGCAAAATAAAAAATAGCATGTAAGGAAACCAATTGGGCAGGTGGAAAATTCTAATTGGGCAGTTGGAAACCTCCACATGAGAGAGTGTAACTCAATTGAATGAGTCAATGTTATCGGTTGGGCCATTCATCCGCTACAAGGTAATACATAGCCGTTAAGTAATAAATCACAAGCTGTGAGTGACTCCCTACTAGTACATAAGATGGCAAATCCTCAGTTTAGGCAGGTGATATAATAACGGGAAGGGTTAGATTTACATGCGAACAATCCGGAATCCCGTACTCCATGCTTTCGCCATGTTGCACTCTCACATTACCTTGCTTGCGAGGTCAGGCAATTCGCGAGAAAGCGTCCTTTTTCCTCTGCTTTGTTTCTTCATGTTTAAAGCCGTTTTGCCAATGGGGCAAGGTCAGAAAGAAATGCTGCTCGCCCCCAACCCCAACCTCAACCAAGTCTTAATTCAAGTTGTTGCTTGTCTCCAACAAGCTAGGTTTCATACCCCCCCCCCCCTCCATCCTGCTTGACATATCCCTGTTCATCTATTCTATCAGCGACTTTCGTTACTCGCCACACCTTACTGTACACGTCTACTTGATTAGCGCCAGGTACGAAGAGTGAGATGCCAACGGTGCCCCGAGTTTGGCCCTTCACAAAACCACTGACGACATATTGATCTCTTCGCAACAGGGCCGGACGGAATTCAAGTGTTTGCACTGACCTCTGGCATGGCGCCTCGTCTCGGTTCTTTTTTTGTTTTTGATGGAACCCCAGCTAGCTTTCACAGACATCTGTTCCTCTTGTTAGAAGCTATGAGGGTTGGACGTAAATCATGCATGCGTCCGGGTCGTTGTCCTCGAATGCGGAATCGGAACTCGCTAGCATCCAGGTTTGTATTATTGCATTCTGGTGAGACCAACGTGATGATGGCTTGTCCCTACAGTCGTTTTGGAACCGTTTCAGATGTTGGAATCCTATTTATAGGGTGCGTCGGAGATTTTCAGTCCATTGATCCACGAGCGACAGAGTGCTGCCGGTTCTCTACCTCCATAATTCAAGTCCGATCGGCCCTCGATCAGACGAAGCCGCAAATCCATCCAGACTAAACCGTGCGGTGTCCTTCATGGTTTGAAAGCGTGATATTTCGGCATTGGCATATGTCCAGTTACCCGGAGTGAGGAAACTGGGGCCATAATTTTCTTGGTAGGCTCTCCTGTGCCTTTTTTTTGGGAGGCTCACCCTATATTCTCTGTGCAGGAAACTGAGCGAGATTCTCAAGAACTTCGGAGTTAGAATCCAGTATCCCAAAGAGGTCCTCAGAGATGGAAAGTCTATTATGCTTGAACAACTGATTCGCAAACTTTTCACAGCCATTTCCATTCCTATCGTGTGTGGCAGGACTTAATTCCACCCTCCACCGATGACAATCAACTGTCGGATAACTTTGAACCGTTGCAGCTGGCTCTTACCGAGTCCGGGCAAGGTAATCAAGCGGAGTGTTTAAACACGGGCTTCAAATCATTGCTTTAGACACTCGAGCGTCTTTTAAGTTCTGGCATGGGAACACGCCTTTGGGCCTGGGTCGCTGGCGTATTGTCGGGACCTCTCTGTTTGCCTTTAGAAGCTGGCCTATGCTGGTCTGTCGGGCGTATTGAACATCACCCAAGCTCTAGAAAGATCCCCAAAGAATTAGCTGCCGTACTAGGTGGTATCAATGGCTATAATGCGCGACCATGCATCTTATCGAGCAGTGGATGATAGTTTTTCCCATGTGTTCGGTTCAACACATGTGAACCTCATTTGGTGATTATAGCAACTGCGCGCTGACAATAAGGAATTGTTCACACAGATTTCCAGCATGTATCGGTCATACTGTGCTATAAGCAAGTTCTCAGTCATCCTCTTTCCTCATTCTCATCCCTGCCATTCGGTCGCTCGGCATGCCCAAACGGTAATGAATCATCACTCATCAATCAATCAACCCCTTAGAGCACTGTATTATATCACTGCGGCTAGACATTCCCCGATGCAACTCGGCGGACCCCTTTACGCAGTTTCCTCAGCCTTGATGGAGACAGGTGTGTCCACATGTCGGCAATATGCAGTCTGGATCTGGAGTGCGACGATGGTTTCCCTATTCTCGGTTTGGATTCCATTTGTGTTTTTGCCATCATTTCTCCCGACGGCACGCAAATTGAGTGTGCACTGGAGGACAACTCCCAAATTTACATCTGCTGTGCGGAGGGTCGGCTCAACCTAGTCTGCTACCACCTTTGTGGGTTAACTCGTTGTCATTCAGCCCTCATAGCCTCAGATCGGCTTCCACTTGGGTGACAAGGCTATACACATCTGGATGGCAGCACTGTAAATCCTTATACGGTCACGTAGATGCCGCTGGCGTCCGTAGAGTACTCTCGCAACACAGTCCCGCTGAATCGTTTGTCTGGGATGTGGTCAGTGGTGATAGAAAACATCGAATCGATCTGGACAGCACAGTATATGTCCCTCTCACTGCAAATGATGGCAGGGGTTCTTCTTGCTGGCAATCCATTGGTGTTCTGTGTCGATGGAACTGGAAAACACGATAGCGCAGCATATGCTGTCTTGTTCTCCTCTGCTGGGAAACGGTAGCTTCTGATCAGCGGACAAGTCTGTGGTGTGATGAGCGGCACACAAATGCACACTATCGACGGACAGGTTGGCAAAATCTATTCTCCAGCATTTGATCATGCCTAGATGGCAACATGTACAACACGAAAACGAGACCCTAAAGCCGAAGAAGATCATCGTAGATCAAGCTATAGTCTTATATCGTGACCTCCCAGGCGCACCACCACTAGAAAATGTTCATCATTTCTAGGATTTCCAGCCCAGACGAAAGCAACGTACCGTATAGGCGGAGCACTAGGAGAACTTTGCAATCTCGTTCGTTTGTTACTGGGTAGATTATCAGGAGAATGTCGTGTGGGTGAGCAACAAGTCATGCCTTTCTGCTGATGGAAATTGGACCTGAATTCTCCTCAGCCGAAAGTACATCCCATAAGAGGCGAGTTGAAACCCACCTGTGAACCAATCGGAATCGCCTCTGGAGTCCGAGGTGGTGGTGGCTTGGAATTATGTCAGGCACCATCAGTTAAAGGGCTCGAGGTTTCATGCTCTAGCACTTCACCTTTGACTTAACGGGCTTCAGCGGGACAGAATTCTGTAGCAAAAGTCGGTCACAAAACAGGTACAGTAAACTATCCAAAACACGAACTGATGCCCATTTGTTGCTCCTGGGTACATACCCCCCACCAGGTTCGTAAACCTGACGATGCTGTTAGTCTGGTGTGAAACTCGCGAAGGGTCTGGTGAGTCCTACATCAGGTTCATAACCACTCATAACATCACGTTTGCTGAGGCAACTGCCCATAGGTTTATTGTCGTTTCAGGCTGCAGTGGGGATATTGAGAGCGCACAAAGTGTTAGCGAGTGCAGATTTCGGGTTGGGATAATATTGTGATAAGCTCGCGTGACTGGCACGTTTTTGAAACTTGCCTTATAACTGGAGCATCTTACTCGAAATTTTCATATAGAACATCGGATGGATATCATTCAAGCACAAACGTGTCCAGTGAGGCAGTCAGGTCTGCCATAGATGATAGGCGTTTCACGCCAGGAAGGAACAACCTGAATGAAGTGCACAACTGTGCACAACTTGTGTTATTTCTTTGCCCCATCGTCATCACCTCAACAGAAAAATCGATGCCCCAAACATATCTAATCTCTCAAATCTCCTTCACACCTTGATTTTTCGCCCCTTTCTCTTTGATTTCCGACAGTTCGGCATTTGCCGACGGGCACAGACGCGCACTGAATCGAAGGTAACCAGAACATGTGGCATGGTGCGCTTTTTAGGCAAGCCTTGTGACCAGTAGCCTTTGCTGTGCAATGCACCTTCTTCATATCCTGTCATTCCGCCAATTCACTGATCTTTCCATATATCTTCCCACCCTTCTCTCCGCCTTCACGTTTATCCATGCTCCCTCGCCTCTTCACTCCTAATGGTGCGCTATGTTAGTAGTGTATAACCATTCAGAGTCATATTGGGCCCACCACACTTGTGTTGTCGCTTGAACTTATATCACATTACAACCGTTTTAAAAAAAAAATTCGTGAACCCGATTTCACCAAAAATCGGAGCTCTTTGACTGCAAGCTTAACATCTCCACCTACGTGGTGTATAAGCGCTAAATCGTGATAACAATTCATCGATTATCTTGTCTCCCTCTCGTATGGCGGCAGCTTTGGGTAACATTTGGCATGTTGCTTTCATTCATAGTCAGTAAAATTTGGGTCCATGTTCAAGGATCTTGTTTTGGTTCGCACCTGTAGTCTTCGCTTCCGTACGTTTGGGTGCTTCGCCATCGAACAAGGTTGGGCCTCAGCTGCTACCTTGCTTGCAATATCACTTTCCAGCCCGGAATTCCTCAGCGTTTTCCCACCCTGTTTATATTGTTCCTCTTTTTTCCCATCTTCAAGTCTCTCCATTGTTGCGCACAGCAATGTCACGCTGCTCCTTTTCCTGACCTCCCCTTCGACCCAACTGGTACAAACTGGAAAGCATTCTCAGAGGAATTTTTGCTAAGGCTGGAAAGGGATTGGACATCGCTACCATGCAGCAGACCATTGATGCCGCAGTCAACAAACTCACTAACATTATCCAGACAAAAAAGCCACCAGTCCCAACACCCCTGTGCCCTGCTTCTATCCGTGACAACAGAAACCCAGCACATTCCTCGAGAACACCGCATCCCTGTCAAGAAGTTCTTCCACCACAATCTGCATATGTAGCTCTACGCGCCTATCTAGCCAGATGGACTTGCCCAACTGCCTTCTATGCTCAGAGCCTGAATCGGTAGAGCACACTTCTTATTCACCTGCCGTTGCTTCTCCCACGAGCAACCAAACTTAAGAGGGCTATCCTCCTGGCCTCCGCTGACGATAAATCATCAACACTTCGTTCTGTCTCAGTTGCTCTCCACCTAGGGGCCATTCCACACACATACCCGGTTCATCCCGAAACGGAGCACTTCTCCTTGTATGCAATGTGATCTGTACATAGGTGTCTAATTTCTATCATGTCTTTCCTGTTCCTTTCACTTTTTCCCACGTTTTCAATCTATACCCAGACTCCGATTACGTTCACTAGGCACACTGCCCTACCTCTGTTCCTCTTTGTCATGCCACAGGTGCCGCGCACCTTCCACCTTGTGTTATTTCATTCCACTTTGCTTTCCGCACTCCACTGAGAGAGGCCGAGACGGTCTATATGATCGTCCCCACCGTCCACGTGGGAATAAAGGCACCTCAGCATCTGCTGAGTGCCAGCTCACCGAAGCGCCGGTGCTTCGACTTTCTCTCGGGCTGTCAGATCCACAGCCTACCCTTTCCTCTCGTTCAAGAGGTCAGTGGCGGTTCCTACGGTCACTTCCCCACCGGTTCCAAGTGGGGAGAAGCGCTTACCAGCCCAGGCTCACTGAGCACCCGCGCACTTTGATCTTTTCCAAGTCAAACTGTCCGGTGGTCCCTACCACTGTTCCTGGGCAACAAGCACAACTAGGAACGACGCAGGCGACTTATGTGCGTAACGCATTTCCTCAGTGACAGTCCCGGATAGCAGGAT